ATTGTTTTAGAGAATACATATATTGTCACAAACAGTCTGTTATAGAGATATGATAATTAAAGGTGCTTCTCTTGAGGCCTCAGCAGGAAATGAGGAAACCAAAAAATAAATAAATAAAAATAAAAAAAGAAGAAAACAAGGAAACCAAAATAATTATTGCACAGAGGAGAAAAGGTAGTTCTTGTTATAAAGCGCCAGGAAGTGTGGCTGAATTGTATTCTACTATTGTGTGGAAGGTAGAACTTGTAAGCAGCGAATCTGCATGTTTAGCAGAGGAGATTTCCAAGCAAAGCAATGAAGGTGTGACTTGATTTCTCCTTGCATTTACAGTAAAATGCAAGAGGAAAGAGTTAAATCAAGGAAAAACCTATTAAGCAAGACGGAGACAGAACTTGGTGATTTGAAATAATCCCAGTCTATCTATATTTCAAAAGATGATAAAACACATTCTGGAGAGAATTCCCATAGAGTAGCTGGAAAACCATTTGCTAAAGAGGTTCAATTTCTTTTCTTTTCTTTTTTTTTGAGACAGAGTCTCTCTCTGTCACCCAGGGTGTACTGCAGTGGTGGGATCCTGGCTGACTGCAACCTCTACCTCCCAGGTTCAAGTTATTCTCATGCCTCAGCCTCCAGAGTAGCTGGGACTACAGGTACATGCCACCACACCCAGCTAATTTTTGTATTTCTTAGCAGTGACGGGGTTTCACTACATAGCTCAGGCTGGTCTCAAACTCCTGACTTCAAGTGATACACCAACCTCAGCCTTCCAAAGTGCTGGGATTACAGGTGTGAGCCACCACGCATGGCCTAATCTCCTTGTTTCTGACTGCTGTCTCTTGTTCCTAAAGAGGCTGAATATTTGACTAATGGCAACAATCTGCCATCCTAGCAGAAGTCAGGAATAGAGATGGGGATATCCAGGAAAGATATGTGGAGAACGCTCTTACTTGATGGTGTGGACTCTTTGAGTTGCACAGGAGACCCACAAAGCTTTGAGAATGTTATATCAGCAGAGTTACTGTCATTCTGAACTGAAAGGGACAGAGGCAGAATGAAGTGAAGTGAAGCTGTTGGATTTCCAAAATGTCACAGGCAGTATATGAGCCCATAAAGGTACTGCGCTTCAAACGTGTTTCCTCCAAGAAAAAGGAAGAATGACTCTTAGTACATCCCTAAGACTTGCAGGGCTTCTGTAGCCTCAGAAGGCAGAGCATCAGCCCTTTGAGGATTATTTTCAGGCCTTGAGACCTAATACAAATTTGTCTTGCTGAGGTTTTTTATTTTTAAAATTTTTTTAAGACAGACTCTTGCTCTGTCACCCAGGCTGGAGTACAGGCGTGCGATCTCAGCTCACTGCGGCCACACACTGCCTTCCAGGTTCAAGTGATTCTCCTGCTTCAGCCTCCCAAGTAGCTGGGATTACAGTCATGCACCACCAAGCCTGGCGAATTTTTGTATTTTTAGTGGAGACGGGGTTTTGCCATGTGGATCAGGCTGGTCTTGAACTCCTGACCTCAGGTGATCCACCTACCTCAGCCTCCCAAAGTGCTGGGATTACAGATGTGAGCCACTGTGCCTGACCTTGTCTTGCTAAGTTTTAAACTCGCTTGGGACAAGTGATCCCCTTATTCTTTCCATTTTCTCTCTCTAGGAACAGGAATGTCTCTCCTGTATCTGTCCTGTCATTGAATTTTGGAATCAGGTGACTTGTTTTATACTTTCACATATCCACAGATGAAGATTTTTGCCTCAGGGTTCACCATACCCAGAGTTGCACCCAAGCTTTATTTAGATATATTTTGTTGTTGTTTTTCTTGTTGTTTGTTTGTTTGTTTTGAGACAGGGTCTTGCTCTGTTACCCAGGCTGGAATGCTGTAGCACAATCACAGTTCACTCCATCCTCTGCCTCCTGGGTTCAAAAAATCCTCCTGCCTCAGTGTGCTGAGTAGCTGGGACTACAGGTGTGCACCACCATGCCTTACTAATTTTTGTATTTTTTAGTACAGATGGGGTTTCATAACGTTGCCCAGGCTGGTCTTGAACTCCTGGGCTCAAGAAACCTAGCTGCCTTGGCCTCCCAAAGTGCTGGGATTATTGGTGTGAGCCACCACAGTTGTCCATTAAGCCTCTTTTTCTGTTCTGATCTTTATTATTTCTTTCCTCCTATTAATTTTGGGCTTAATATTTCTACACATTAATAGTGAATGATCTGAAAAATAAATCAAGAAACCAATCCCATTTATAATAGCTACAAAATATAATGCTTAGGAATAAATTTAACCAAAGACATGAAATGTAAAACACTGACGAAAGAAATGGAAGAAGACATAAATAAATGGAAAGATATCCCATATGCATGGCTTGGAAGAATTAATATTGTTAAAATATTCGTATAATCAAAAGCAATGTACATATTCAATGCAATCCCTATAAAAATTCCAATGACATTATTCACAGAAATAGAAAAAACAATTCAAAAATTTGTATGGCACACAACATCCTGTATAGCTAAAGGACTCTTGAGCAAAAAGAACCGAGTTGGGGTCATCATACTACCTAGCTTCAAAATATATTACAAAGCTATAGTAACCAAAACAACATGGTACTGGCATACTAATAGACATATAGACCAATGGAACAGCTTAGAGAACACGAAAATAAATCTGCACACTTACAACCAGCTGATTTTTGACAAATTTGCCAAGAACATACTCGTCAGTAAATGACGCTGGGAAAACTGGATCTCCCTACACAGAAGAATAAAACTGGATACCTATCTATCACCCTATACAAAAATAAATGAACTCAAAATGGATTAAAGACTTAAACTTAAGACCTGAAATAATAAAATGACAAAACTACTAGAAGAAAACATAGAGAAATGCTTCTCGACATTGGTCCGTGCAAATTTTTTTTTTTTTTCATAAAACCTGAAAAGCACAGGCAACAAAAGCAAACAGAAAAAAAGGTAATTATTTAAAGCTAGAAAGCTTCTTCTCAGCAAAGAAAACAATGGACAGAGTGAAAAGACAACCTTCAGAACGGGAGAAAACATTTGCAAACTATATATCTGACCAGGGGTTAATATCTAGAACATATAAGGAACACAAACTACTTAATAGAACAAAACCCCAAACAAACCAATTAAAAATAAGCAAAAGACTTGAACAAACATTTCTCAAAGAAGACATATAAGCCAGGCGCGGTGGCTCAAGCCTGTAATCCCAGCACTTTGGGAGGCCGAGGCGGGTGGATCACGAGGTCAAGAGATCGAGACCATCCTGGCCAACATGGTGAAACCCCATCTCTACTAAAAATACAAAAAATTAGCTGGGCATGGTGGCACGTGCCTGTAATTCCAGCTACTCAGGAGGCTGAGGCAGGAGAATTGCCTGAACCCAGGAGGCGGAGGTTGCGGTGAGCCGAGATCGTGCCATTGCACTCCAGCCTGGATAACAAGAGCGAAACTCTGTCTCAAAAAAAAAAAAAAAAAAAAAAGAAGACATATAAAAGACCAACAGGTTTATGAAAAATGCTCAACATCACTAATCATCAGGGAAATGCAAATCAGAACTACAATGAGATATCATCTTAACCCAGGTAAAATGGTTACTATCAAAATGAGAAAAAATAACGTGCTGGCATACATATGGAGAAAGGGGAACCCTCACACACAGCTGGTGGTAATGTAAGTAAGTACAGCCTTTATGGACAACAGTATGGCGGTTCCTCAAAGAACTAAGAGTGGAACTACCATGTGATCCAGCAATCCCACTACTGGGTATACTTCTAAGGGGAATGAAATCAATATGTCAAAGAGGTGTGTGCACTCCCATGTTTATTGCAGCACTATTCACAATAGGCAACGTATGAAATCAATCTAAGTGCCCATTAACAGATGAGTGGATAAAGAATATATATGTGCAATGGAGTACTATTTAGTCATTTAAAAGGAGGGAATTCTATCATTGCAGCAACCTGCATGAACCTGGAGGACATTATGTTAAATAAAATAAACCATGCACAGAAAGACAAATACCACATAATCTCCCTCCCATGTGGAACTGAAAGAAGTTGATCTCATAGAAGTAGAGAGTAGAATAGTGGATACCAGAGGCTGAGGAAGTTAGTGGAGAGGAGAATAGGGAGAGATTGGTCAACAGGTACAAAGTTGCAGTTAGATAGGAGGAATAAGTTCTTGTGTTCTACTGCACAATAGGGTGACTATGGTTAACAATTTGTTTTTGTTGTTGTTTGAGATGGAGTCTCACTCTGTTGCCCAGGCTGGAGTGCAGTGGCACAATCTCGGCTCACTGCAACCTCTGTCTCCTGGGTTTCAGTGATTCTCCTGCCTCAGCCTCCAGAGTAGCTGGGATTACAGGCACGTACCATGACACCCAGCTAAGGTTTGTATTTTTAGTACAGCTGAGGTTTCACCATGTTGGCCAGGCTGGTCTTGAACTCCTGACCTCAGATGATCTGCCTAGCTTGGCCTCCCAAAGTGCTGGTATTACAGGCATGAGTCACTGTACCTAGCCAACAGTATTGTATTATATATTTTGAAATAGCTAGAAGAGAGAATTTTGAAGGTACTCACCACAAAGAAATGATAAATGTATGAGGTGATTGACATGAATACCCTGATTTAATTTTTACACAATGCATATATATATTGAACCATTACACTATACCCCATAAATATATATCATTATTATGTGTCAGGTAATAACAAAATAATAACTAATAATAACAACTAATAACTAAAAACAAAAACAAAAATAAGCCATAGATCATAAAACCCATTAGAGGTAAAGTAAGGTTAATGCTTGAATGTATTAGATTTGGATTTGTGATTCCTCTAACTTTGCTATGGAATATATCATTCATAACAAAATATTTCCTTTAACTGATTATATATATATATTTTTTTCTCGGTTAATTCAATATTATTCCACATTTAGAGTTAATAATTTTCTACCAGACTTTTTTTTTCTATTTCAATTTGTTTCAACAGCACACTAGACCAACAACTAGTTTGCATGGGTTTTTAAATTGCATTTTCTTTGCCCACCTGAATGACCAGTAATGACATAAGTCCAACTGGCAAAGTGAAAAGGGGGTCCTACCAGATTTTAATACATAGTAAAATATATATAAGTAAACCAAAAGTAATGTTTTCCCTGACAAAACTATTTTAAAATCACTTTCAATTCATGTACCATGAAAAATGTTTAGATTTCCCCCCAGTTATGTAATTGTAGAATTGAGATACATTTTATATACTTGAATAGCTTACATGCTAATAAAGATGATAGTAACCCAGATAAACTGCGTGTTAGTTTATCAAATGTCTCAATGGGGAATCTTTTTTTGTTTTTTGTTTTTTTGTTTTTTGAGACAGGGTCTTGCTCTGTCTCCCAGGCTGGAGTGCAAGCGCTGTCATGTTGGCTCACTACAACATCCAGCTCCCAGGTTCAAGCGATTCTTATGCCTCAGTCTCCTGAGCAGCTGGGACTACATGTGCCCACTACGATGCCCAGTTAATTTTTGTATTTTTAATAGAGATGGCGTTTTACCATGCTGGCCAAGCTGGTCTCAAACTCCTGACCTCAAGTGATCCTCCCACCTTGGCCTACCCAAGTGCTGGGATTATAGGGGTGAGCCACTGTGCCCAGCCTGTTTTTTTCTTTTGCCCTCAAATTCTTAGTCAATGCTTGTAAGATATTTTAGCAAAACAGTGAATGAAAAGCAGAGAACTTAAAGTCCTAGAGTTGGAGAAGTAGTTTATCCAGAAGCATCCGCCAAGTGATTGACTTTTTGGGGACTGCAGGAACAGAACAGGTGCAAGGAATAACTTTTCTGGAAAATCAGGAAGTGATTGCCTCTCGTTCTTCAAATGAAGACAGGATTAACCAAGACAACGTGATTAAGTATTTGGCAAAGAGCTGCAGACCTCACATCCTGTACAAACGTCACATCTTGTCTTAATGTCTGAAAGAGATTATTTTTAATAGAGATGGAGTTTCACCATGCTGGCCAAGCTGTTGAGGATGCTGTTGGACCAGAGGGAAGAAAAGAACCAGTTCAAGCTGATGCTGCCACATTTACATCCCAAAACAGGAAGGCTGAGGAAACAAAAATTGTGTACCAGGCAAGCACTTAAAATACATCGTTCTTTTTTTGGACGGGCCAGAGTCTCACTCTTTCACCCAGGCTAGAGTGCAGTGGCATGATCTCTGCTCACTGCAACATCTGCCTTCCAAGTTTAAGGGATTCTCCTGGCTCAGCCTCCTGAGTAGCTGGAATTATAGGCACCTACCACGTTCGGCTAATTTTTGTGTTTTTAGAAGAGATGGGGTTTCTTCATGTTGGCCAGGCTGGTCTCGAACTCCTTACCTCAGGCAATCTGCCCACCTCAGCCTCCCAAAATGCTGGGATTTCAGGCATGAGCCACTGCACTCGGCCAATACTCCATCGTTTAAAGTCCTACCAGCATATATATGAGAAACATGCCAATACTCTCTTAGGAAAAAGGAACCCAAGGCTCAAAGGGGCTCATTTGTTCTTGATTTTATTTTGTTAATTGGCATTTATCGAGTACTCTTGCTAGGTGCCAGCACCTGTATAATTTATGTGTGCATATTATCTCATTCCGTCTTTAAAACCTGTGTGCCATTGTCCATACCATAGGTGAGAAAAGCGTGCATAAGGAATGTTAACACATTTCCATTCCTATGGAGGGGCAGGGAGAAATAAACACTTTGGAAACAAACTGAGGAACAAGATACAGTAGTCAGAAACAAGGAGATCAGGCCAAACGCAGCGGCTCATACCTATAATCCCAGGACTTGAGGCAGGAGGATCATTTGAGGTCAGGAGTTCAAGACTAGCTTGGCCAACCCCATCTCCACTAAAGATACAAAAATTAGCTGAGTATGGTGGTATATACCTGTAATTCCAGCTACTCAGGAGGCTGAGGCGGAAGAATTGCTTGAATCCAGGAGATGGGATTGCTCCACTGTACTCCAGCCTGGGCAACAGGATGAGACTCTGTCTCAAAGAAAAAAAAAAAAAGAAAGAAAAAGAAACAAGGAGATCAAAACACCACGTCGAAGACTGGTGGCCTTGTGAATGGATGTTGCTTTCCAATACGCCACAGGTTGAAGGTCGCACACACGGCTGGTGACCAGAGAAGATGGGATTCGAACTCTGATCCACATGACTCCAGAGCCCAGGCACTTACCTACCCTACTCTCCTGTTCTTATTCTCTTTTTCAGTGAAATAATGGTACAAGGCAACCATAAAAACAAACCCGAATCTTGGCTACTCACAGGCACTTCTACTTACTATCATTAACTGGTTAACTAAGAGTTAACAAACACTACAATTCTTTTTATTTCAGTCCTTGCAAATAAAAAATCTATTGACAAATGGTCCTCTGCTTGTTTTGGCAAATGAAATTAGCAATCTTTTTTTTTTTTTTTTGGGATGGCTTCTCACTCTGTTGCCCAGGCTGGTGGGCAGTGGTGATCTCGGCTCACTGCAACCTCTGCCTCCCAGGTTCAAGCAATTCTCATGTCTCATCCTCCTGAGTAGTTCGGATTACAGGGGTGCGCCACCATGCCCAGCTAATTTTTGTATTTTTAGTAGAGATGAGGTTTCACCATGTTGGCCAGGCTGGTCTCAAAATCCCAGCCTCAAGTGATCTTCCCGCCTCAGCCTCCCAAAGTGCTGGCATTACAGGCATGAGCCATCGTGCTCCAGTTGGAATCAGGACTCTTAGCTGCAAGTGATAGATCCAAATTCAACCAACTGCAACCAAAGGTTACTTTTATTAGTGAGATTCTTGAAAGTCATGCAAAGGGAAAAGGTTGAGTCAAACTGGGAGAAGAGCAGAGCAGAGATGCTGCTGAGCTTCCATTTGAGGGTGACAAGAGGCATGACCTGCCGGAAATCCCAGCCCAGCTTCTCCAGCAGCAGAAGTGAGTATTCATGTATCAGCATCCTATTGCCGCTGTAACACACGGCTGGAAATTGACTGGCTAAATGCCACGCAAATCTATTATTTTCTGATTCTGGAGGTCAGAAGTCTGACATTGAGCTGAAATCAAAGTACTGGCCAGGATGTGCTCCCACCTGGAGGTTCTAGGGGATAATTCATTTCCTTGCCTTTCTCTGTTTCTGGAGACTGCCTGCTTTCCTTGGGTCTTACATGCTTTCTTACGTCTTCAAAGCTAACAAGAGTTGCATCCCTCTCTGATTCTGGTTCTTCCATTCTTCTTATCTCCCCGTGATTCTCATTTTTTGCCTCTCTCTCTCATTTTTTTTTTTTTTTTTTTGGCGATGGGGGTCTCACTTTGTCACCAAGGCTGGCATGCAGTGGTGTGATCTCAGCTCACTGCAACCTCCACCCTCTGGGCTCAAGCCATCCATCCTCCCACCTCAGCCTCTTGAGTAGCTGGGACTACAGGTACATACCACCATGCACAGCTAATTTTTTTTTTTTTTTTTTTTTTTGTATTTTTGGTAGAGGAAGGGTTTCACCATGTTGCCCAGGCTGGTCTTGAACTCCTGAGCTCAAGTGAACCACCTGCCTCAGCCACCCAAAGTGCTTGGATTACAGGTGTGAGCCACTGGGCCAGGACTTTTGTACTTTTAATAACCCTCATGATGACATTGCTCTGGCACCCACCAACCACAGATCCTGTTTTAAGGTGAGATGATTAGCAACCATGGATTAGGATGTGAACAACTCTGGTGGGGGCAATCATTATTCTGTCTCCTATAGGAGCATACCCCTAGATTTACCAATCAGCAATTCTGGATGCAATAGGAAAAGGGTAGATTTCCAAAAGGAAATTGAAGTGTTAGAAAGGCGGATGGGTGGCTGGGCGTGGGGGCTCACACCTGTAATCCCAGCACTTTGGGAGGCCAAGGCAGGCAGATTGCTTTAGGTCAGGAGTTTAAGACCAGCCTGGCCAAAATGATGAGACCCCGCCTCTACTAAAAATAGAAAAATCAGCTGGGCGTGGTGGTGGGTGCCTGTAATTCCAGCTGCTTGGGAGGCTTGAACCAGGAGGCAGAGGTTGCAATGAGTTTAGATCCTGCCACTGTACTCTGGCCTGGGTGACAAAGTGAAACTCTGTATTTAAAAAAAAAAAAAGAAAGAAAGAAAAGAAAGGAGGATGGTAATCAGTAATTCTTAGCAATTCCAGAACAAGGAAGGGCTGCTGGGCAGACCTAGCCATAGCTGTCCACTATAGATTGAAACAGACGTCAAATCTGTCTTTGATGATTTATGCTCTTTCAACATCTCCAGATCAATCTAATGACTGCTACCAGTTGGACTTAGTATTAAACAGGTAGAAATACAAGTCAATGTGGATTTGTATTGACTTATAAGATACCCTGAAGTCTTTTTGTTTGTTTGTTTGTTTGAGACAGAGTTTCACTCTATCCTCCAGGCTGGAGTACAGTGGTATGATCACTGCGGCCTCTGCCTCCGGGGTTCAAGTGATTCTCATACCTCAGTCTCCCAAGTATCTGGGATTACAGGCATCCACCACCACATCCAGATCATTTTTGTATTTTTAGTAGAGATAGGGTTTTACCATATTGACCAGGCTGGTCTTGAACTCCTGACCTCAGGTGATTCACCTGCCTCAGCTTCCTAAAGTGCTGGAATTATAGGCATGAGCCACCACACCCAGCTATACCCTGAAGTTTTAAAAAATTCCTGCCTATGTTGTTCTTTTGTTGTCTGTCCTTTTCTTAAGTGCAGAATTCATAAAAATGGTTATGTGACGGCCCTAGTGAATTGAAATTTTATTCTGCTACATTTAAGAAAATCAACATCCTTAAAAATAAATGGTGTAATAGTAAGACTTTTTCTCAATTTAAGGCATTAAGCTTGTTCTCATCTCTACTAAGGGGGCATCTAAACTTGGTGAGTTGTCCTGGCCAGATAATATCCTTCATTTAAATTTTGGGGTGCTGTGGAATCCTCCCAACTCACTTCATTCCCAATCAGTACCTATGATTTATAGTTTGGTGTATATATTTTTCTAGATCTTTTGATCTGTTAAAATGTGTTCATATATAGGAACAAACTATAATTTTTT